GAGAGAGAGAGAGAGAGAGAGAGAGAGAGAGAGTGAAGTAGGAAGTAGGCAGAGTACAACAGGAAGTAGCATAGTTGTTTTGATATCTGGAGGCGAGATGTTGGGATCAAGAGACTCCAGCATAATTGTGTTCTCAATTGGTGTGATTTTGGCTTGTAATGAATGATGTAATCTGCTTTCGACTTTACTATCATATGCTTGCTGTGCTTTATGTCTTTCCATGCAAAGGGCAAATTGGATGCTCATCGCTTGGTTATTAAAGCCTTTCAGATTGGGGTTCCTTGCAGATATATTAAAGCCTTTTGATATGTTGATACGCCAGCACTCACAATTCTTGAAGCACTCAAGAGCCAAGAGACACATCGGAACACGGAAATGCATAACGATCAGGTTGCAAGATACAGGAATGGGCACATACTGATCTCGTTCATGAATCAAAGTCTCCGTCAAGATAGGAAACGCCTCCCCAAGTTCTCTGATTGCTAGCACCAGCACATCCGAATCTTTCAGGCTCTCAATCTGCATCACACAGGCGAGAAATACAGCAACAAAGAAGAGGCGACATCATAACCGATCTTCAATATTGATATCATCTCCACATACAGATGAGAGAGTAGGGTCATTACTTCCATTGATATGCAACAATACAAAGATACCTGAAGACATTCCACACAGCTCGACTCCTCTGCCAGGACTTAATTCGCTGGGGCATTCCCTGTCCTGTGGCTCCAAGAAACCGATGAAAATCTAGTACTAACATTAACTCCTGATTTTGGCGTTTCCTATCCAAATTGGCTGAGGAGAACTCTGATATCTGGACATTCTTTTGTCGACAGATGGGATCCAGACCTCTGCCCGAACCTGAGCAGGCACGAGAGAGTGCGGAAATCATATTGTGCTATTCCAGAATGGAGGAGAGCAGTGTGCATGCAAAGCCAGGAAAAACAACAGAGTACAAGGCATTAAATTCGTAGACACAGCGGCCAAGAGAACTGTTAGATAACGATGCTCAGAAGGTGCAAATGGAACTGTGGAACAGAGGTAGGGACACTGGAGAAGAGAGAAGATGTAGAGCAGGAAGAGATGGCAGTGCAAGGTCATGGGGTTGCAAGGAGATAAGAAGCCGGAGGGTGGGGAGCACGAACAACTCGCCGACTCAAGGGACTTGAGAAAAGAGAACAAGGGGGGTCCATACAACAAAGAAAAGATCTACAGAACGTTCCATGAGCTTTCCCCCAACACACTGAGAGACGTGAGGTGCTGAGTTGGGGTATCCCTACCAATCAGCAAGCTATCCCCCATCCTACTTGCAAATGTACACGATTGACCCGCACAGTCCACACTTGATAACCATGTGTAGGGACCAAGTATCCACTACCCACATTCCTCAAGAAACCATTCAGTCAAATCAGACTATGACATATTCACACTCGGTGCACAGCTCCGGCAGGAATCCAGCCACACGTCGACCCACCCCTAAGAAAATGCTGCAACTTCGACAAAATATAAAAACAAGGAAAATGACTTACCAGGGCAGAAAGTGCCTCCGCGTCAGGGAGCCTGAATGAGTCATATATTAGTGTCCATATCAGCTTTATCTTCTGCCAACGGGACATACGTCCCCATGTCCTCTGAAGCGTGATCTGTTCCCAGAGGAAGGTCAATAGCAGAGCAAAGAATAAATACGCCGAGGGTAGTGCACAAGAAAGGATCAAGCACGGACACAAAATCTCAGTGTACACATCTCTCCAAAGATCACAAGCTTGGAAATGTCACAAAAGCTTCAAGCTTAAGCAGCATGCTTCATTTTTTACCTGAATTACGCATGTAGAAGAGGAAGATTTCAAAAAGGAACCGGGTGGCTGTGGCGGAAAGTGTCACATCTTCGGCTCTGAGATCACAGATGTGGATGGCAAAGGTCAATCCCATGAGGAGAGGTGTGAGAGAGGGACATTGGAACACTCAATCACTGGCCTGGAACATGCACGCATAACATAATCAGAAGATAATGTGGCCACTTGTACACCAGCAGAGAGGGCAGCATCCATACACAAAACCTACCCGCTCAATCATACATGGATGAAAGGAGAGAAGAAGAAGTGCCTCCCCTTGGGCTGGCTGAGGCCATGGGGGGGAGACGGCTCTGAGAGAGGCAGGCTCAGTGGGGATGACTACGGGAGGAGTGAAGGGTTCACCCCCTTCCTAGCAGGAGCGACTCTCATCCCACAGCACCTGGTGACAGTGGTGCATTTGCCTCCCGGCCGGGTGCCTCGGGGACACAGGACGCTGAGTTTGAAGGGGGTGCACCCTGCCGCGGCAATCTGGTAGTTCCGGCCCAGACTAATACTCCCGGTGAGTGTAGCAAGGCCTCTATTTGTCTCTCCGTGCTAAGAGCTCCGATCTTGAGTGATTCCGAGTAAGTGGGTGGGCCCTCTGTGCCGACAGGTGGGCTGAACCCGGCGCGTGAAGCCCCCTGCCGGACTTCCTCCTAGGGCAATATCCCTGACACCTCACAACCCTTTTTCGAGAAGAAGTGAGCACGAAGGAGAACTCGAGATATGACAATGCCGAGAAAACAAAAACTCTCCTCCCCCACAAGCAATCCCCTCCTGGAAATTGCCTCCAACAACAACAAGTTTCAGATTTCTGTGTGAAAGAGCAACACTCTCCCCAAAAAATACATGTCACAGCCAGACCTCTCTGTTGCTCTCACTAGAGGAAAGATAGTGAGGAGGACACACACACACACACACACACACACACACACACACACACACAGAGTGTGAAATACCAACATGCTAAAGGTGGGACCTTTAGCAACCGGTGTTGTACAGGTGGCTATGGCAACAGGTCAGCATTCTCCCCCCCCTCTGCAGACCTCCAACTCCCTAAACTCCAATGCCAAGCCTATCCTCCACATCTATTCTACAGTTGGCAATGGGAGACTGCTTCCCAATCGACAATGCATTCTGCCGCTGGAAAAAAACTCTTAACAGTTTGGGCACTGGCTCTTTGGTTCAGGTATCTACTGGGTATTTGGTCTTTGCCAGGTAAGTCCGACCGGTCACCTGATCACCGCAGGCCCCAGCGCTACCCTTCTTCCACCTCAGTGCAGCTGCCGATGCCACTGAGCGAGCAGCTACCCCGTAGCTGCTCCCCTGCTTTGTGAATAAGTGCTGGACTGGCTGTGTGTGCATGCAGCAGCCCTGGCACTGGCATCCAGTGCCTCCGAATGTGTGGAATGCCCCGGCCTCCTTCCTTTTGTTGCTTCCTCGAGGCCGTGACTACCTGGCTGAGACTGAGCTCTTCCCAGTCTGAGAACCTTTCGGACTGGGTATCGGGATCTCAGCCTCTTCAACTACCGTCTTCAGCCGAATATAACACCCAGTCATAGCTGTATTTGGCACAACTTTCAGCCCAGATACGGCGCATTCTCTTCGGGTGAAGACCGTAGGTGGGAGGCTGGGCCTATCAGTTAGTTGGAGAGGCTGCACTCAGCCTGCCTTCCAACTGCCTCACGCCAGCCTTCTCTTAGGGATGGCGGACCCTTTCCTACCCCGGTCTTCACTCAGGGACAGGCCTGTATTTCTTCAGGTCCCTGGTGGAGGCCTGCCAAGGCCTGAAACCTCGTATACGTGTTTCTTTTCACAGAAAAGTTAGAAAAAGAAAGTGGGGACGGCCTTCGGGTATCATCATCGAACTGACTGGCTCTTGATGAAGAGTTATATCAAGGATCCAATTGAATTAGGATTTGAACTTAGGGCTGTTTATCGACACCCATTGCCCATTCCACTAACTCAGAGGCTTGCATCAAGAACAATGTGTTTGTGTGTGTCACTCCCTGTGCACGCGGTCCATCTTGACTTCGTGTATTGTCTCTACACATCAAAATAAAGGGCATCCATACCTGTTTGTAATCCCTCTCCCAGGTCCCCCTGTTCCTTAATTGCTGAGCATAAGACAGGCCTAAGTGGGTCTGTGGTCTGCGTCGAGACGGGTCGAGGCAAAAAGCCCCGTCTGAAAGTCAGTCTGCAACTAAGCCATGGTGCCTATCAGAAGCAGTAAGGCTGGACCAACGAGGACTTCGCTCTGGCTTGGCGTCGATAACCAAACCAAAAACCAATATTCAGGCCTGCCTATCACCAAGCAAATCTCAGGGTCATTCCACCTGACCCAAACCTAAGCCAGGCTTTTCTCCGCCTTGGGTCCACCTTACGCAGCTGGAGCCTTGTTGACGTCAGGCCTATCAAGAAAATGAAAATTGGGGCTTGCCCCTCTTTTTAACTCAAAGGCCCTCGTCTCAGTGTAAAGCCAGCGTTGCCTACCCTATAATGGAAGATTGCAGACTCTGAGTCGTTTGCTAGAAATAGATGACCCTTGTTACAAACTGGAGAGTCGATTACAAGTTGATCGGCCTCTTAACTGGAACTGAAGGGTCATTCCAGAAGTCCCTCTTACGGAGTCGAAGGTCGTGCCAAATTCTGAAGGAGTCGAGAAATTCCGATGAACTAAAAAGAATAGTACATAGACCAATATAACTCCACACAAAAGAAGGTATAGACTGCCCGTTCTGCAACAGCACAGCCGAACAAGAAACCAGATTCGGCTAACGGACGACACTGACGTGGCAGAAAATACAAGGGTGTGGCACAAACTCTCAACACCATAACCGGTGCGGTTTTCTGAAGTAACATGGTAATAACAGACTACTCCTCGGTTCCCCTGGCTCAACGAGGAGTGTACCCAGATCTGACCAACTTCAGCTACTGGGTTTAACCTTTAAAGTTTAAACCACCAGCCACACCACAGGTCGGAAAAAGGGACTCCAATGAGTGTGCCACAGGGGGGAGGGGGTCGGCCTAACAGCAGCTGGCACTCCGTGCCAGTGCACAGACATATGAAAGCGCCAACTTCGACAATTTTTCACACTCAGGATTGTGGGCAACAAATTCGTTTTTTTTTTTTTTGTGAAATTCTTCTCTCATTATGTCTTCCCACTCCCTACCTATCTACCTACCCAATAATCCAGTCCTCCACCTTTGCCTAAGCTGCTCTGTTCCGGGAGCGGTACCCCGGCCCCTGACCCCTGGCCTCCTGGATGGAAGGTGTTACGGACTTCGCCAGGGCTCGATCCCTGGTCTATCTTTTGCTGTTTCGGCTGTACCCCGTTTTCGGCCTGGCACTCTTTTTCCAAACCCCTCCTTTGGTACCGTAGGATTTTGGACAACTGGCGCCATGCTGCAATTCGGGCGCCACTTTCAAATACTGCATTTTTCAGTTCTGCCCTC